TGGGGTTGGGGGGGTTAACTCAAATGTGCGCATGCTCCCTTGGGTGCTTGTGTGCATCCGTGGAGACTTTGAGGGGAAAAAACCTTTTTGTGAGGGGACATGGGCGGGCGCCGGAACTACCACCGGAAACGCGATCAGACACCCGCCCTTGCCCCGTGGTTTCAGGAAACTAGTACCTCCGAGGTACTAGTTTTTTACCGCACATCTTCTGCGGGAAGCCTCAGGTTCGCCACGGGAGCTCTACGCTTCCCAGATGTGGCGGTGAGATCGCACCCGGAAAATCCACCTATCTTCCGTCCCTCTAGCGTGCATAATGCTCCGTGTGACCGCAGCCAATGATTATTTTATTCATACTAAGAACAGGACATGTGATTTGTTTTACTAGGATTTAGAGGTGAGTTGTGCGGGGAGCAGAGTGGTCCCCAGAGTTAAGTGGCTCTTCACAGCCATACTTTCCATCTAGGGATGACAGTCTCCAGGTGGAACCTACAGAGTTTACAGAGATCAGTTCACTGGGAGAAAATGGATGCTTTGGAGGCCAGACTCTATGGCATTGTAGCCCACTGAGGCCCCTGTTCTCCCCATATATAATGTCCCATCACTGTAAAATCAATGCCCAGGCCAAACCCCTGGACCTAGAAACACAGAATTCGGGGAGAGCATTCCTACCATCATGTAGATGCTCAATAAGAAGGAATTTTTAGAAATCTGACCCCTAAGGGGGTCAAAAGGGGGTAAAATATGCTCCCCCCCATCGCTTCTTATGTGGCTGCCAGGCTGCTGCCTCCTTGCACCCCCCACTCTCTGAGCTCAGTGTTCTGAGGTTTTAAAAAAAACAGTTACAGGAGACTGCAGAGAGCTAATGACAGTTGAGGAAATCAGGAATGGCCAACCACCTGTGAGATGCAGCAGTGCTGCTGGCCCAGCCTCCCTGATGGCTTCAAACACATTCCCCCACCTCCTACACCAGACAGGCAGCTGTCTGTCAGGTGCAGCAGTAGGTGCAGAGTGCTTAAAGCCATCAGAGAGCCCACTCCAGCAGTAACACCTTAGTAATCCTGCTGTCCCAGCTTTCAAAATAGCTTGCAATACCCCTGCCCTCCCACACTGGACAGGCAGCTGCCTGTCAGGTGTAGGAGAGGGGGTGGGATGCTTACAGCCATTGGGGAGGCTTGCTCAGCAGGATTGTGTTAGTGCTGCTGCTGGCCCAGCCTCCCTGAAGCCTTTAAACACACTCCCCCAACACCAAACAGGCGGGGGTCTGTCAGGAGTAGGAAGAGGGCCAGGGTACTTTAATCCATCAGGAGGCCACCCAAGCAGAAACACCTTAGCAGTGCTGCTGGGGCACCCTCCCCAATGGCTTTAGGCACACTCCCACCCACTCCTCTTCCACCTGACAGGCGGTTCTCTGTCAGGTGCAGGGGCAGAGCTTTGAAAGCCATCAGGAAGGCTGCCAGCCCTGCCTCCCCAATGCCTTCAGACATGCTACCCCTCCAACACCTGACAGACAACTGCCTACCAAGGGTTGGAAGGGGTGTGGAGTTCTTAAAGCCGTTGGGGAGCCTTGCTCAGCAGCATTGCCTTAGTGCTGCTGCTGGCTCAACCTCTCTGATGCCTTTAAACACACACACCCTTACATCAGACAGGCGGGTGTTTGTCAGGTGTAGGAGCAGGGCCAGGGTACTTTAATCCATCAGGGAGGCCACCCCAGCAGGATCACCTTAGCGATGCTACTGGCCCAGCCTCCCCAATGGCTTTAGCCACACTCCCACCCACTATGGAAATATACCCCAAATTTGTAGAAAAATGGTTTCCTGTATTAGGTTATTTAACTTCTCACAATGTGGGTTCTAGAAAATTGGTTCATATGAGCTTGCTTAATATCTGATTGCTCAGATGTTGTTTTGAATACATAGTTATGTCCCACTTCTTAAATGTAACATAAATGAGAAGCATTTTTATTTTTAAAAAGCATGCCCTGCATTCCCCCCCCCAAAAAAAATTCAATGCCCAGGCCAAACCCCTGCACCAAGAAACCCTAAATAAGGGGATTGCATTTGTCCCATGAGGTCAACCCCCACTACAAAGAGATTTTTGAGAAACACAACCCATAAGGGGGGAAAATGGGACAAAATGTGTTCCCCCAATTGTTTTCCCTGTGCCTGGCAGGCTGCTGTCTCCTTGCCCCCTCCTCCCCCGATTGGTCAATTGTGTAGCTCAGAGTTCTGAGGTAAAACCTGCCTGCTTGCACCCACCTCCCTCTGTGGATCTCAATGTTCTGAGGTAAACTTCACATTTCAAACTTCACATCATCAGTATTATAACTGGATTTATGGAACTTAAATACCATAGCAAAGCACGGGTATCAAGCTAGTTTATTACTACATTAACATGAATAAGTTGCAACAAGGGACATACATTCATACCTTTGATCCTGGTGGAGGAGCAAGGCCTAGGAATGAATAAATAATATTTTCTTCTTTTGCAGAGAAAAAGGAGTCAAAATCCTGAAAAAGAGAATTCAAACATACACCAAGAAGTTTGTAAGAATCATATTTAAAAGGGACTAGACTGTACAAATCTCTCTCCACAGCCTGAAATCTGGAACCACCGCTAATAAACAAAGCTGTAGTCCTACAGTGTTAAGCTTCTTACAGTGCATTTAATGCAATCAGATTCAAGAAGCTTAACTGTGCAGAGGACTGCAGACTAGAAAATTATTCACTGCTTTCACATATTAACAATGAAAACAAAACCACCTCAATCCACAGTCCAGCATGTGGATTTCATTAGCCTTGCCAACTCCAGGTTGGGAAATTCCTGGAGGAAAAAGAGGGCAGGGTTTAGAAATGGGATGGAGAATATTGCTGTAGGGCCAGCCCTCCAAAGCAGCTACGGTCGCCAATATCCAGCTGGTGGCTGGAGATCTCCTGCTATTACAACTGATCTCCAGGCAACAGAGATCAGTTCACTTGGATAAAACGGCTACTTTGGAAGTTGGACTCTAATGGCATTATGCCCCAAATCCCATCCTCCTCAGGCTCCACTCCCCAAATCTCCAGGTATTTTCCAACTTGGATCTGGCAACCCTAAAAGCAGCCATTTTCTCCAGGGGAATGGATCTCTGTCATCTGTAGATTAGTAGTAATTGCAGGAGATGTAGGCCAGTGGAGTGGTTCCAGGTGGTCACAGACCTGTTGGGATCTAACCTGCATGAGGAGGTGACCATTTTGCTCAGTACTTTGCAGATAAAATCTCTCACATCCATTCCAACTTGGACTGTATGTTAGCAGTGACATGGTGCCAGAATGCCAACTCATCCATTCAGTTTATTCAGTCTAAGGATGTGGACAGGATCCTTGGAAGTCTGCAGCCTACTACCTGCTTGTATGACCCTTGCCCTTCCTGGTTACTTCAACCTGCTTGGGGGGGGGGGTTCAAATAATAGTTAATTTTTCCTTAAGAAAGGGGGTGGTTGCATTTACTTCTAAAGAAGCCTACTGTGGCCCAAGGAGATCTCAGTAATTATTGACCAGCTTCAAATGCTCCATTCTTGTGCAGGGTGATTGAATGGATGGTGGCTGGACAATTCCAAGCTTTCCTAGATGAGGCAAAGATCCTTTTCACTCTGGGTTCAGGCTATGGGACTGAAACAGCCTTGGTCACTCTGGTTGATAACTTGCACGGAGAAATGGATAGACAGAAGAATCCAGATAGACTCTGTGGATTCTTCTGGACTTCTCAGTGGCTTTCAGTACCATTGATCATGGTAACCTTCTAGATCACCTTTCTGTGATGGGCCTGGGAGGCACCATTCTGCTATAGTTCCAGTCCTATCTGGAGGGTAGATTTCAGAAAGCGATTTTGGGGGACTGCTGCTCAGTCCCTTGGCTTTAGATCTATGGGGTCCCAAAAAGTTCTATCTTGTCCCCTGTGATAGTAACATCTACATGAAACAGCTGAGTGAGGTAATTTGGAGATTAGGGTTAACCCTGAACTCTATCTTGTGCTTCCAACTGAACCATGAGGCTGTAGAAACCCTGAACTGGTGCTTCGAGGCTGTTTTGGAGTGGATGAGGGCTAATAAATAGAAGCTTAATCCTGATAAGATAGAAGTGTGACTGGTGGGTGGAAAGTCTGACCTGGGATTTAAGATGTCACCTGTTCTGGATGAGGTTGCCTTCCCCTTGAAGGTCCATAGTCTGGGGGTACTCTTGGACTCGGTCCTAGTACTGGATTTCAGTAAAGCTTTTGACAGGGCTCCCCATGATATTCTGATGGGTAAACTAGAGTATTGTGGACTGGACTCTAAGATAGTTATGTAGATAGGGAACTAGTTGGAGGACTACTCTCAATGAGTACTTGTCAATGGCATTTCATCTGAATGGAGGGAGGTGTCCAGTGGGCTGCTACAGGGCTTGGTTCTGGGCCCGGTACTTTTCAATATTTTTATAAATGATCTGGATGAGGGTGTGGAGGGGCTACTCATTAAATTTGCAGATGACACCAAGTTGGGAGGAGCAGTGAACACACCAGAAGATAGAGACAGAATTCAACGAGATCTGAACACACTGGAAAAGTGGACAGACGTGAACAAGATGCAATTTAACAAAGATAAGTGCTGAGTTCTACATCTGGGTAACAGAAATTAGGAACAGGCTTACTGGATGGGGGATACACTTCTAAGTAGCAGTGTGTGTGAACAAGATCTTGGCGTATGGGTAGACTGAAAGTTAAAAATGAGCAGCCAGTGTGATGCAGCCACAAAAAAGGCTAATGCGATCTTGGGCTGTATCAACAGAGGCATAACATCCAAATCACAAGATGTGATAGTCCTGCTGTACACTGCATTAGTCAGGCCACACCTGAAGTATTGTGTGCAGTTTTGGAGGCGTCACTTCAAAAAGGATGTGAACAGAATGGAGTGGTTGCAGAGGAGAGCAACGAGGATTATCGGGGGCCTGGAGACCAAGCCCTATGAGGAAAGACTGAGGGACATGGGAATGTTCAGTCTGGAGAAGAGGAGGCTGAGGGGGGACATGATTGCTCTCTTTAAGTATTTGAAGGGCTGTCACTTAGAGGAGGGCAAAGGAGCTGTTCCTGTTGGCAGCAGATAATACGACTCGCAATAATGGGTTTAAAATAAGGGTGGGAAGGGATCGGCTGGATATTAGGAAAAACTTTTTTACAGTAAGAGTTCTGCAACAGTGGAATCAGCTACTTAGGGAGGTGGTGAGCTTCTCCTCACTGGCCGTCTTTAAGCAGCATCTGGACAAACACTTGTCAGGGTTGCTCTAGGCAGATCCTGCACTGAGCAGAGGGTTGGACTAGATGGCCTATATGGCCCCTTCCAACTCTGTGATTCTATGATAAGCAGATGGCAGCTGCGGACTGGAGTGCATTTACCAGCTTTGACTGTTTAGCCAGCTGTGGGGACATTCTGGAAGTGGGAAGTGATCTCACCACTCATTCCCCCCAAAACAGTGACGTAGCACACAATGTGCCTGCATCACCCAGAAGTGATATCGGCACGTTGGCGACATCAGGGGCAACGCTCTGGACTTTGGGCAAAACTCTATGGTAAAATCAGCATCAAATGTGCAACATTGCTGTTTGGGGGGGGGATTCCCTCCTGCCAGCCAGCTGGCCAGTGGCGAGCAGGAGCCTGCAAAATTGGAGGATCCCCTGCCCCCACTGGGCAAATGGCAACCCCAACTGGAGTGGATCCTAGGGACCATTATCACTTGTCTTAGTCCATCTACACTGGTCCCCAATTTGCTTCTAAGGCACAATTCAAATGTTGACCTTAAAAGCCCTATATGGTTTAATAATCCCTTATGAACCCACCTAACCACTATAGTCCTGTTTGAAGGCCTTGCTTTGGGTGCACCCACCTCCTGTGATTAGGCGAGTGGTAACCTGGTAGAGGGCCTTTTCAGTGATGGCACCAAAACTCTGGGTTTTTACCCCCAGGGAAAATCATCTGTGTAGCCATCTTTCACCAATGGGTAAAGATGTTTCAATTTTGTTTGGTGTTCCCTCTGTAATCCTTCATTCCTGACCAATCTTTTAATCGTCATTTTAATGTTTTGTATGTATTTTAGCTCTTTTTAAATTATTTCAATGATGTGTGTTCAGGGAGGGGAGTTAATGGTTTTAAAATGTGGTTTTATTATGTATGTTTTAATTTGTTAGCCACCTTGGTAGCCCTTGTAAATAAATAATAAATAATATTTAGTACAACTGGGGAGAAATTAGGTTGTACATGGAAAATGTATGTGCAAATTATTAGATATAGCAGTGGTTACCTTTCAGACATTCCCACCTTCAGCATTACCCCTGCCCCCAACACACATACAGTCACCCATGCACACTCACTTCCAGGTTCAAGTGCCACCTACGGGAACCAGTTAAACAGGAATTCTTTCAATTTTCCCCACTTGTGTTCATCTGTAGTGCTGCCCAAGACTTGCTGCCACATCAGGTAAGTCACCTCCTCAACCTTCTCTGGTAGGGAAGGAGGTCCAGGGGCAGAAGGCCATGCGTCCACCTTCTACCCCAATGGGCTTTTGCTGGGAAAGTGGCCCAGAGCTCCTCCGTTGGCCTCCCGCTTGATCAGATGGGGCCCAGTATCTGGCAGCGAAGGAGGTCCGAGGGGCCCAGGCTGCGTGCCCACCTTTCCACCCTTGGTGCCATTTTGCTGGGAACGCAACCCAGGGCTCCTCCATGAGCCTCCCACCACCACTGCCGGGGGGGCTGGGGGGACCTCTCTTTATTTTTTTTCTTTCACTCCTCTCTCCCCATCTGTTTGCTTTCTTTCCAGTTCTCCCCTCCCTCCCTTCTTTCCTTCTTCCTTCCTTTAACTCTTCTTTCCCCATCTGTTTGCTTTCTTTCTACCTCTCTCCTCCCTCCCTCCCTCCCTCCCTTCCTTCCTTGCTTGCTTCTAGTGCTCGTTCTCTCCCCTCTACAACGGGCCTTCTTTCTTTCCACCTCTCCCTCCCTCCCTCCCTTCCTTAAATGTAGGCTCACTTACAACTTTAATCCTAGTAAGTCTTTTGGCTCATGAAGTAGAGTTTTGGCTCACAAAAGTCTGCAGCGTAGAAGGAACACTATTTTTGTTTCAATTTTCATTGACCAATAAAGGGAAGCTTCTTTTAAAAAAAATTAATGGAAACTTCTGTGGCACAATAGTTGAGACCATGAGCTGGGATCTCCCTGTTTCATATCTCCTGAACTCACTGGGCAAATAGTTGCTCCCCAAGGGCCATTTCAGAAAGAGAAAAAAGTGTGGAAACTCCTCTCTTCAGTCTAGGATTTCCAAGAGGCCTGAAGTTTTCCAAGAATTACAACTGCTCTTCGGGCGACAAAGATTAGTTGCCCCAGAGAAAACAGCTGCTTCAGAGAGAAAACTTGATAGTGCACCATAGATTGCACCTCCTTTCTCATATTTTCCCCTCCACAGGCAGGAAACTCTCCAGGAGTTTCCCAGGCCCTGGTGGCAA